CCCTCCCCCACTCATGCGCGCTCTCTCTCTCTCTCTCTCTCTCTGTCCCTCTGTGTCAAAAATAAATAAACATTAAAAAAAATTTTTTTTAAAGGTAGATACTGAAATGGGCTGGAGGAATGAATAAACTGGAGAGGAGAACAGACTATTCTTTCCAGAACTTTGGATGGAGGAGAGAGATGGGACAGTAGTTTAGGAGAAAGTTGGTGTATGAACTGACTTTTTAGGGGAGTAAACCCTAAAAGAGACAAAAGATGCCAGAGAGATGGACTTATAGGAGCAAATTTCTGATTATTTTGGGCCAGATATGCAAAGCCTAAGACAGAACACACCCCCTAACTGCATTTTCGTGGATTAGACTTACATTCACAGTTCATATTCCAAAGATGTGTTCCCATAAAACTCTATTAGCCCTAATAGTTAAGGAAACTGTTTAGTTCTTAAATAGGTTTTCAAACCCACATTTAATCAAAAACTGAGAAAAGGCTGAAAACGTGTTCAACTCTGTATCATTACATTTGTTTAAAGCATTACATGTGAATCTGTAATCAACACATGACTCATGAGTTCTTCATATCTTTCTAGACCTCCAGTCTTTGTATAATTGTCCCTTCCATCAACCATGAATTTCCTTCGGCCAAAACAACTGTCGATGAAATCTGGGAAGAGAGGAACCTTGTCTCACTAGAAAAACAAACAAACAAACCTCAGGCCTCTATTGCCAAAAAGCCCTAAAAGACGGCCTCAGGGAGAAGGGCTACATTACAAATGATCTCCTTCAGGGGCACCTGGGTGGCTCAGTCAGTTGAGCGTCCAACTCCAGCTCAGGTCATGATCTCACGATTCGTGGGTTCGGGCCCCACGTTGGGCTCTGTGCTGATGGCTCGGAGCTTGGATGGAGCCTGCTTCAGATTCTGTCTCTCTCTCTCTCTCTCTCTCTCTCTGCCCCTTCCCTGCTCATGCTGTTTCTCTCTCTGTGTCTCTCAAAAATAAACAATTATTAAAAAGAAAACAAAAATCAAATGATCTCCTTGATCCCCTTGTCTACACAGTGGCATACTCATCCTAGACTCAAAGCAAAGGCGCTTATTTATATTTATATTTATATTTATATTTATATTTATATTTATATTTATATTTATAAGAATTACTTCCTTGCCGTCCCCGTAGCAGGTGTTTGCCCCCAAGTTTGCTTAGACTAGAGCAGGGCAGGAGAGGGGAGAAGAGGTGCAAGCCAGGCACAATGGAGAAAGGAAGGTGCCGACGGTCTGCCTCACTACCTCATGCCTTTTAAAGAGGGTGAGCCAAGGCAGGGGGCGCCCTGGGTGGGGGGAGAGCACAGGCTGCCCAGGGTGATGCTCCAGTCACCTGGGGTGAGCCATCCCACATGGACTAGCGGAGGAGAGGCCTGCCCCCTCCCCACCCCCGGAACAATTCAATCATCTTTAATAAACGTCCTGGCATATGTATCATGCTGGGAAGTACAGCACAGAGCGTAAGATGAAAGAGTAGACTCCCAACAGCCCCCCAGTGCTGGGGAGAACCCTGGAATTTACCAGACTGTGTGCCAGGGGAAAGGCGTATCTCGTGAGAATGTCAAACATATCCCTTCTGCTGTGGCCTTCCTGTTTCAGCGCAAACCTCAGGTTCCTCATGTCCTAGGGGGCAGACAGATTCGACAGTTCAGTCTTCAAATAAAGTGACATTCCTTAGCAAAAAATCTATTCAACTAAAGGAGTGGAAGATTCACTTACCTGAAAGGACAATTAATCGAGATTACTAAGAAAATCACTTTGCTTTGTGTGGTATTTTGAAATATCCAGTTTAAGAACACCTCAAAACACTCCCCATCGTAGTCACGAATGTAAAAAACAAAGCAACTAGTGCTAAAAAGAAGACAGAGCTACAATCATTTTGTAACAAGAAAAATCACACCCTGCCTTGCACACCCTCTACGGTGTCTATCCGCTCCAACTGGCTGCTGCGGTATTTTCATCACAAAAGAGTGTTTTATTTATAGAACTTTTCAAATGTGTACCTGCTATCACATGTAATCTCAAAATTGTCAAACATGTCAGGAAAACACGGAAGCTCTCTCCCTCTGCTTCCTGCTACTTTCAAGTCTAACAGTTCAGGAAATGCTTGGCACAGTAAGTGCTCATGCAAAGCAATGGGACGTATTCTTCCTATCGAGTTGACTTGCACAGAGTTCCAGATAAACCACAGTGAAGGACCCCTATGCTTCCAGGAACTAAAAATCAATGCTCAAACCTGGATTGTAAAAACAGCTTCTAATATGTAGCTCTTTGATAAGAAAACCTTCTTTTAAACCAAACCCAAACCAAAAGTGCTCCCTTATATATCAAGTTGTTTTTATAGAACATTCTGTCTTCTCTTTGAAGTGAGGGGTTTTAGGCTGTCTCTTAAGTTGATCATGGTGCTGTGACCAAGTGATGGCTGAACACTAAAACCGGCACATTCTGCACTGTGCTTTCAGCTATAAAAAAACGAGCCCTGTGCTGGACCCTGGGGTACTTCGTCTTGGACATCACCATCTTTATATTTGTTTCAAAGTGCTTTTTCATTTATTATCTCAGGAGCACATTTAAAGCTTCGTAAGTCTTTGGCATGAAGGACTAGCAAGCTCCTTGCCATATAAAAGACATCCCAGAATGCCACTGGCAGCAGAGGCGGTATAAAGAACTGGACCCTAAGACCTCTGATGAGTGACCCAAGATTGCTCACTCTGTACACAGATGGCATCTGCCGGGCCTTGCCAGCTACAGGATTCTGTGCTTTTGTTTTTAAAAGCACATAACTGAATAAAATCCAAAAACCGATTCACAACATATTCCAAGAAAACTGGGTTATTAGTTGCTGGCTCGTGATGCGAAGAAGTAGTCAAATAAAAGGGAATAATCATCTCACTGGGATGACATGGTTTGAAAGGGTCTGCAACCGAGCCATGAGCACAGCCCTGGATCGCCAAGGATCCACGAGGCTGAAAGACCCGCACAGAACTTCCCTCCTAACAGCCTGGGGTCAGATGATAACGCCAGAATCTCACTGCTCTTCACCACTTGGCCAGAAATTAGACCATTTCTGGATAACCATTTATTTTGATCTATCAGTGATTCAAACAACTACTTGCACTGTGCCAAAGCACAAGTGATTCAAGCAACTTCTTGTTGCCATCTGATTCAGATGTAATTAAAGGACAGAAAGAATTACTACCTCATCTTGCCAACAAGAAAATTGAAACGGAAAAAGCAAATGACTCACAGGCAGCAGCTCACCAAATCTGCAAGAGAAATATGAGCCGATCCTAAGTGGTAAGTTCCACCTGGTCTCCTGAGAGCCTGACTTGTCAGGGAAGAGGCACCTGACAAAGAGCCTTGTGGCAGAAGAACTGGACGGTCAGACCCTTGGCCTGTTTGACAAGTGGGTCCTGTGATGATCCACCAAGCCTCGCTGTAGTAAGTGAGTCCAAGTGAACATCCCCCCATTGCACCAACACCGAGGGGCTGATTTACGGACACATCATTTCTATAACGCATTTCTATGAAACAACACCCATCACCGCTGACCTCGAAATACCAGGCTGTCTTTAAAGCGAGTAAACGGGGGTGCAGCATGAAAGAAGAGAGGAGGTTCTGTGATGGTAAGATTTGGCTTGCTCTTTTTTTTTTTTTTCCTTAAGGCTCCAAGGTGTCAACAGGGGCTCCTGTGGCACCTGGCTAAAAATTCGCATATTCAGAGCTACGTTCTCCTCTGCTGCTAGATGACACCCACTGGGACTTGCATCCCCAGGGTGAAAGACGCTACTGGCAAGCCAAAATCCCCACGTGCAGAGCCGATAGGACCAAATTTGGGGGGCTCAGAACTACTCGTGTCAGTAGAGTAACAGCTGCACGATGCTTCTTGATGCCAGCTGGAGCTGACCTCCGAGAGACAGAAGCATCCGCCTTGGACCCAGCAGGGTCCCTTTCTATCACCTTCAGGTCTGTTCTATGAACATGGGATTGGACTCTTGAGATATCGCCATTCCCAGGGAGAGAACGGAATTAAGAGGCTGAGCCACAAGTGTTCTAGGCCATCATCTTTGGGCTGAATGCTAATACTGAGAAACATGTGTGTAACATTTGCAAGTGATGCCTGGTGGAGTTGTTCCTAAGCTCTTTGTTTTTATAATAAGCAGTCAAAGGGGGAAATGTGCTCTGTCTTATTAATTTTGGGGGGACTAATGTTTAAATACAAAATTCTTCCTACTGATAAGGCAACAAATAGGACTTTTAAAAAAATTCTATCAGAATGAAAGTCACTTTCAAAACTGTCGATAGAGCAACCCCATTTTCTCTTGAGTACTGTAATAGGAAACTCTATACTCCCATGGATCCTTTTATGCAAAATGCAAAAACCTTCCTTAAAAGTAAATCCTTGTATTTCTAGGCCCCAAAGTGAAGACAGTAGCTGGGATCATAAATAAGGAATTTAAGGTAGCTTGGATTAAAACAAAAACCAAAAACCACTTGCAACTACTTGGATGGAACTGGAGGGTATTATGCTAAGCAAAATTAGTCAGAGAAAGACAAATATCATATGACATCACTCATATGAGGACTTTAAGAGACAAAACAGATGAACATAAGGGAAGGGAAGCAAAAATAATATAAAAACAGGGAGGGGGACAACACAGAAGAGACTCTTAAATATGGAGAACAGAGGGTTACTGGAGGGGTTGTGGGAGGGGGGATGGGCTAAATGGGTAAGGGGAATTAAGGAATCTACTCCTGAAATCATTGTTGCACTATATGCTAATTTGGATGTAAATTTAAAAACATTAAATTAAATTTAAAGAAAAACACCAAAAAAAACCCCCAAAAAACAAAAACAAAAAAAAAGCCAAGGTGGGGAGTGACGGAGAATTTCAGTTCAGGTCTAATGGTGACACAATCCTTTGCTTCGTGATGGAGTGTACTAGTCTTCATCTTTTATAAACTGGAGGTAATAAAACAAATGTACCACATTCATAATCAAAACAAAATCATAGGAGATTAGTTTTAAGAAATCAAAGTGCCTGAGCAAAGGCCACACCTTCCAGATCTAGCTGTGAGAACCACTGGGACAGATGACCTCCAAACCCCTTCTAGCTCTTTCTGGGATTGGCCATTATTCTCTTCTATTCTGTTATTATCATATTTTATTACTCAATTCAGATTGTAGTCTTCTGATCCTTAATCCCTGGAAAGGAAGTTTTCTTTCCAGAAGGTTTATCCTGTTGTTTGCAAAATGACCATCTCGTTGTATTTGGATCCCAACCTTGCCATTTGTTGGGTGATCTTAGCTCAGTTACTTAACTCTTCTTATGCTCAGGCTTCCCAACTATAAAGTGGAGACACCATTGTCCATCTCCGAGCATTGCCCTGAGGACTGAACGGAAAGCACCTAGCACGTGTGTGGACTAACACAGAGGCTCACTGAAGCGTTACTATTACTGCTGAGTGAATTTTGTTACCATTAAATCCCTGCCACCCACCACGGCAAAGCAACATGGTAGACCACTGTTAGAGAGGTTGTTAGAGGCGCAGCCTGTTCACAGTGGGTAGAATCTCTTGCATTTCTTTTTCCTTTCAGGGTGTGAAGATGTCCAGCTGGCAACACATCACATAAAGGGACACCAGGAGCAGACTCGGGCAAAGACTAGAGAGAGTGAAAATTCTATCTATGAAGTTTTCTTCCTATTCAGTCAAGCTGACAGAAGGACAGGTGTTAGTCCTCACACATGCTGACAACAGCAGGACTCTTTCATAGGAACTATTTCCCCAGGCGGTTTTGGAAGCTTGATCCCGAGGAAGAACCATTCTTTCTAGGGCCTTAGAGGAACAAGGGTCTTTGATTATTTTTTTCTAAGCCCCCATTGACCTTTACTTATCATTCAACAGTAATGTGTCTTTTTTTCACACAAGAAAGTACTGAATCTCTTACTTTACAAGTAATATCTAGACCATAGGAATTTTCTCCTCTACTTGTCGCGCCTCCCATTTTTTCAATTCTGGAGATCACACCCAGAGGAACATCAAGTATTAGAGCAGAATCCTGTAATGGACAAAAACGCAAAAGTCAGTATCTCTGTCAGTATCATTAAAACATCAAAAATGTCTCTTAAAAAAACAACATATGCTTTAGGGCATTTTACCTTGGCCCTTTTACCACTTTTTATAAACAAAAATAGGATACAGATCACACGTGAAAGAGCGAGCATTACAATAGCCAGTTATGCAATTGAAATGCATCCCCAAACATGTGCCATTCTGCATCGCCTATAGAATAAAGACTAAACTCCCAGGCACACAATTTCAAGGGCCCCATGGTGTCACATCCACCTGGTCTCTGCAGGCCTTTCTCCCACACCGTTCTGCACTCTGGCGAAGTGAATACCTTCAGCAGTCCTCAAACACGGCACGGTGTTCTCTTTGCCCCGGATCTTCTATCCTTCCCAACTACCAGATGTCTTCTCCCCGTGGCTCAAGCCCTGGCTCAGCAAACATCACCTCTAACAAAGCATTGCTTCCTAATTAGAGTTGACCACTCCTTCCTCTGAACTTCCAGAACACTTGATTCAGATTGCTGCTATGTCACTTGCTTTACTCTGTCTGCCGAAATTCATAGGTCTATAATTCCCCACGCTAGAAACCAGACATCTGGAAGAGCGCCTAGCTTAGGCAGGGGCGCACTTCACGAAGTAGAAGGGCCTGAGTGCATAGCCGTGCCTCTCCATCATTCCTTCCCCACCGCTGGGTGCGAGGGGTCCATACAACTGCTGGCAAGACAGAACCACATTAGTGAAGTCACACCACAAGCATCACAAGACGACGGCAGCCGCCATGCACGGAGAAACCCGCCTGTGCCAGGTGTACAGGGGCATCGTGCACGCCATCTTTCTGATTTTGTCCTCACAACCATTCCAGATGCTGGCGTACTACTCCCGGTTCCTGACATGGCAATCAAAGCTTTCAAAAGCTTCTGTGGCTTGCTTAGGAAATACGGGGAAGGGCTGACATTTGAGCCAAGCTCTGGGAACACGCATCAAAAGAGCCAAATGCTCCTGCCTTCTGACTCTTAAGCATTCTTAAGAGCTTGGCTCCAGCTATCGCACGACAGGAAGAACACTGTATACGTGAAGATGCTCAATGGAGCCGGAGGTGGACATTGGGGTGGAGAAAATTACCACTCGTCAATGTGATGGACTAAGCATGCAGCTACTAAAATAATTACAGTACGTGGAAAAATAAGCTTACGTGGGAAGCAGCAGCATACAAACTACATGGGCTACAGTAACGTAAAAGCCACATGGACAAAGGGAGACCTACACAGGTTTTTTAAATCCAATACTTCCTTTATTGCGGTGATTACTTTGATAATAAAGAAAATGTTTTAAAGGTGCTCACTGAATTTTCGTTCTTTAGAAGATATCCTTTTGGGGGATACAAGGAAAGCTGAAGTTTTACTTCCAATCCTTCTCCTTTATATAATAGAAAAACTAAGCATTTCTTTATAAAATATGAATACAGCTTATAGGTGTTCTAAAAATTCAAAAAGTCTAAGAATGTGGTACATCCATGCCATGGAATACAACCCAGCTACAAAAAAGGATGAACTATGGACACACACACCAACCTGGAAGGCTCTTCGGAGCATCATGCTTGAGTGGATGAGGCCAATGTCCAAAGGTCACACACTATAGGAGTCGACTTAGGACATTCTTGAAGTGACAAAATTGTAGAGATGGAGAACGGAGGAGTGGTTGTCAGGGGTCGAGGGGAAGTAGGGTGTGGCTATACAGGGGCAGCATGAGGAAGTTCTTTCACACTGGCAAAATGGCTGCTTTTCTTGATTGCTAGTGCGTGGTTACATGATACATGGGATCAAATGTCATAGGATTGTATGCAGAAACATGAAAACATGAGTGCATGAAACACGGGTGAAATTCAAGTAGTCAGGGTCTCAGTCGACTGTATTGTGCCATAAATTTCCTGGTTGTGATCAAGCAGCATAGTTATTGGAGGGGCTATAGGTATTGTACTAGTTTTCCAAGTTCTTGAGCATTCATAATTATTTCAAAATAAAAAGGTAAAGGAAATGTAAGAGCACAGTTATCACAGTGTAGAGAAAAGAGCACAAGCTCTTATGTTGCACAAAATTGGTTCAAAGTAGAGCTTTGGCATTTATTAGCTGAATGGCTTTGGCAAGTGATGGTACCTCTTGGCCACATTTTCCTGTCAAGTAGGGATGATTAAAGATCATGGACTTAAGCACCTGGCATGGTGCCTGTCATTTGGTAGCTACAAAACAAAGGAAGTTATTATTACGATCATGAAGACTATTTTAGCATTTGGAAGATATAACTGTATTCTACAAATGTGGATCAGTACGCCCTTGCAAACAGCTAGAGGTCTCTTTGTACCCATAAGGACGCAGGTTATAGTTGTTGCCGTGGGGAAAGACACCTCTCTACATGACTCAAACCCAAGTGCCTAGAGAAAAGGAGACAGTACTCAGTAACTGTACATTTGTAGCTGCATATTATAACGTATTTACCTCTCAATACAATCTAGTTATTGAAAACTATCAGGGGTGCCGAAGTGCCTCTGTTGGTTAAGCGTCCGACTTCGGCTCAGGTCATGATCTCGTGGTTTGTGAGTTCGAGGCCCATCGGGCTCTGTGCTGACAGCTCAGAGCCTGCAGCCTGCTTCGGATTCTCTGTCTTCCCTTTCTCTCTCTGCCCCTCCCCGGCTCACACTCTGTCTCCCTCTGTCTGTCTGTCTCTCTCTCTCAAAAATAAATAATAAATATTTAAAAAATTAAGAATAACATAAAATAGAAGCACACGATCAGGCAGTCTGTTTAGACTGAGATTTAGGAGTGTCCAACTATATGCTTAAATACCAAACTTACAGTTAGATCTAAAAATACACAGATGAGATACTAAATAAAAGTCTCTCATATTCTAACATCAACAAGGAAGCAAGAATGCAACCAAAAAAGTAAAAAAAAATTAAAGTGAGAGGAGACCTCACTGTCCTTTGTCCTTGTATGGAGGAAACTCTATAGCTCTGACTATTCTGACCCAACAGAAAAAAGGACACTGAGGAGAACCAGCCAGTTCCTGACCAAAGACACCCATAGTTTAATGAGGCTACTTGCCATGTTCTGCCCGAGAGACAGGTTCAAGATCAGATAACCCAGCAGGCCAAACTGGAAGATCCAGGAATAGGAAAATTAGCTTAACTCTGTAGAAACCTGAGTTGTTACTATCTAAATATCATTAAATATTTAAGAATTCTCAAAGGCCCGTTCTAACTCAAAATTCTATACATTTAAGGATCTAAAACAGTGGGGCAGTAAACAGAACACGAACTCTGCAGAGACGCAAGCATTTACTGTCTCTCTCGAGTGTGTACAGAGTAACAGAAGCCACACTGGATGCCGGGAGCCACGGAGGCAATATGCAAGCACCACCCTCACGGAGGCCAGGGCACAGACTGGGAGAGAACACACAGGTACCCAAATAGCCATGCCGCCAGGCCGCAAGTACAAGAGCCACAAAAACCAAAGCAAACCACCCACATCCAGACAAATGGGCTGAGAGATCAGAGGAGAGCAAAACAATTTCCTATCGGTTGGGTCTCCTGAAGGTTCTGGGGCAATGGCAATGTGAAAAATGATCCTTACAGGATGGAATGATAGCAGCTGGGAGATCTGCCTTCCAAACACAGGTAACAGTGACATCAGCTACACATGTGGGAAAGTATGGGGATTTTGCAGGGGGAAAAAAAAAGCAAGTGGGTCAGGTTTACAAAAGGATGGCAGGAGAATTCCCTGGGAAGCACCCCAGGGTTTGGATTGGGGTGAATGGGATCCATGGAATGTGTTTTGAGAAGAGGAGACAATGAGCCACTGGGGAAGCATCAACAATGACTCAGATTTAGGCCCAGACGAGAGATGTGGTCCCACAAAGAGACATAAAGAACACAAAAAGGGGTTCTAGAGAAAGATTAACATGGTCACTTTGAGATACACTGGGCTGGAGGTTATGGTAAATTAATCAAGTATAGATAACCAGGAGGCAGCTGGAAATACAGAACTGGGAGAGATTCCAAAGTCCCCTTGAACTCAGAACGTCCAGAACTAATCATGTGATGTTTCTCTCTCCCAATTACGTCTTCCCATCTCAGTGGCTGGTGCTCCATCCACGCAGTTACAAAAGCTGGAAACCTAGGAGTCATCCTTGACATCCCCTTCTCTGTTATCCCTCATCCGGTCTCCCACGTTTATCTCTTAAATCAATCTTGAGTCCGTCAACCCCTCTCCACTTCTAGCAGCAACTTCTCTGGGCCACTGGAATAGGCACAGCAGCCTCTTTGCATGGACCGTTGCTCCCCTTAGAGTCTGCCCTCCATACAGCTGATCGCTTACAAAAGTCAGTCTGAGGCTGGGGCGCCTGGGTGGCGCAGTCGGTTAAGCGTCCGACTTCAGCCAGGTCACGATCTCGCGGTCCGTGAGTTCGAGCCCCGCGTCGGGCTCTGGGCTGATGGCTCAGAGCCTGGAGCCTGTTCCCGATTCTGTGTCTCCCTCTCTCTCTGCCCCTCCCCCGTTCATGCTCTGTCTCTCTCTGTCCCAAAAATAAATAAAAAAACGTTGAAAAAAAATTAAAAAAAAAAAAAAAAAAAAAAAAAAAAAAAAAAAGTCAGTCTGAGGCTGTATCATTCCTTTGCTTAAAGCGCTTCCAAAACTTCTCACTGCTCAACTCCAAACACCTCCATCCTTAACGGGATCTACCAGGTCTCGGCCATCTGGCCCCCAACCCCTCTCCCTCCCGCTCACTCTTTGCCGTTCTTCCCACCACCAACCCAGCCACCCGCTCGCTCATCGGTCCGTGTTCCCTTTGCTCTCAGGGCCTCTCACGGGCTGTTCTCTCTGCCCGTTGTCTCCCACCCAGTCTCTGCCGAACATCTAGGGAATTCCTATTCATTGTTTTCTTTCTTTTCTTTTCACATTCATTCTTCAGATCAGGGGTGAAACATCACTTTCTCAGG